TCGTGTTTAAATTGCATTTCTGCATTGAGGGGAATATGGACTTGTTTCGATTTTTATAATATTGCTGGTCCATGGAAGGATTACGAATGGAATATGTAAGTTTCCTACTTACGTGAGATATGATGTTGAGTCTCTGCGCACCCCCCTCTCCCCCCCCCCCCCACATGAAGACAACGATCCGCGTTTGATCAACGTACAAAAACCCTTACTGGACCGAGTTTCGCAGTCCGTGGGGAATAGTGTTTTGCGGAATTTTTTCGCAACGTAGGACGTGCTCTCGTGACAAAGAAGATAGTCCCTTCTCTTGTCTACGTCACTGACCGAACGAATCGAGAAGAAAACTGGGTGTCGCGTCAAGTGGACCAGGGCAGCATCCACGGTAACGTTCGGCCACACGACGCGAGGGTCGTTCAGCAGAAGGTAGGCGAATTTGAAGTGGTAGTGCTTTTTTCGCGTGATGTATTCCTGATACTGCTTCACCTGAAAGCTGTTTTTGCGGTTCATGCAGCATCAATTGGCTGTGAAAAAAAAACCTGGGAATATCGAAGACTTCCAAATTGCGGTGTTCAGCATCATCGCCTGGCAACCATCTGAGGCCTTTGATAAGGACATTTTCATTTGAGGGGTCAAAGCTAAGAATCAGTCATAATGATTGTTCTGTATCGAAACCGGAAGCAGCGTAGTCGTTTATTGAGTCCAAGCGAAAGCCGAACGAAAAGTGAACCATACTCGACAAACAGTCTTTTATACAGGAATGATCTGGTATCGCTCAGTACTACTATCACTTAGAGTAAACAACTACCATCATTCCTCAACACCTCCCCCCTACGAAATATGTATCATATGTCTTCATTCTTGGATTCACTTGAAGACGGCTGGGTGGCTGTCGGTGTCGTTTCGCCTTGCTTGTATCTGCCGGCGGTGCAGCGACTGCATCTCGATTCAGCATGTCGTCATTTGAATCGGTCGAGGTCTTCTTTTCCTGGTTGTGCTTGGCTTCTTTCAGCTTTTTCTGTGGATTCTCTTCACAGATGAACTCATCAGACTCTCCTCTACTGGTGGTGGCTCCTTTTGATCTTGGTCGAATTTGTTCGATGTGTCTTTAAAACTGACCATGTCCGTCAGTACGTCGTACATTGAATTGACGGTTGTTCACGCGAGCTGGTATCCATTTCTTATGTCCAGGGCGAAAAGATACGACTTTTCTGGCGTTCTGTGATGGGGTTTGGACTGCATCCCTGTCTTCAAACTGCGTGATTGTGTTTCGACCTCATCAGTTTCCTTCAGCAGCGTGAGATTTGTCCTCATTTGACGTCCAAGGAATAACTCTGCTGGTGAAACTTGTCCGGGAGTCGAAGTACTCGGTGCTCTCCGATAACACTTCAGAAACTCTGTGAGTGCTTCCAACTTTTCTCCCTCTTTCGATTTGAGTAGAGCTCTCTTCAAGGTGTCAACAAAACGCTCTGCTTGGCCATTTGATTGCGGGTGGAAGGGCGGTGAACGGACGTGTTGAATGCCTTCCTTGGCGCAAAAACTTGGAACTCTCTGGACGTAAACTGCGTCCCGTTGTCTGACACGATTATTCTCGGATTTCCGAAACGGGCGAACAACATTCTGAGTTCTCTTAGAGTTGCGTTCGTTGTCGACGATGACATTTCGAAGACTTCTGGCCATTTTGAATATTAGTCGGTCACTATAAGATACATTTTTCCACTGACAGGTCCGGTGTAGTCAACATGAATTCGTTCCCAAGGTTTCTTCTCGTCTGGCCATGAGCTTATAGCTGTCTTCCTTGGCATTTTTGCTGTTTCTTGACAGTAGCGGCAGTGGCGCACATTTTCTTCGATGTCACGATTGATGTTCATCCAGCAGACATATCCCCTGGCGAGCATCTTCATTCCTGTCATTCCGATGTCCACTGTGTAACTGTTTCAACACTGTTCCATGTAGAGACTTCGGAATGCCGATCCTGCATCCAAAAGGCATCCGTCTTGTGCAGAAAGTGTACGCCGTGAAGCTCTCCAGTTGCACATTCCCTCATAAAGGTTGGCTGACCATTTTTTTGAGCATTCTTGTGACCTTCGGTATTTCCTCGTACTTCCTGGACTCTACTTGAATCGAATTTCTGGTCACGGGTGGCGCGTTTAAAGTAGCTTCGTATACAGCGAGAATGTCTTTCTTAATTTCGGCAATCACAACATCTTCGCTTTGATCTGGCCGTGGAGGAATGAGTCTTGATAACAGATAATAAAATTATCTGCTTGTTCAAGATTCAGTTGACCTTCGATACTCGAGGGTGAAGTCATATCCCAGTAGTATAAGCTTCCATCTTTGAAGTCGGTTTGCTGTGTAGGTTTGTACCATTTTTCTTGGTCCAAAAATATGTAGCAACGGCTTGTGATCTGTCAACAATTTGAATCGACGTCCATATATGTAGCGATGGAATTTCCGGACAGCGAATATCAAGGCAAGTCCCTCCTTTTCAATCTGGCCATAGTTTCTTTCTGCAGCAGTGAGGCTTCTACTAGCGTGGCATATTGCCTTCTCTGTACCATCTGGCATCTTGTGAAGAATAACGGCTCCAATTCCATAGTCCGATGCGTCAGCAGCGACTACTATTTCCAAGCTGGGATCAAAATGCGTCAAAAGTAAATCCGAGCACGTCTTTGGCACGTTGGAAATCTTCTTCACATTTGTTTGACCAGTGGAAAGAGCTATTCTTCTTCAATAATTCGTCAAGTGGGGCGCGTATTTGGCGCATTTCTGCCACAAATGATCCGTAATAACTGATCATTCCCAGGAACGAACGTACTTCTGCAACGTTCTTCGGGGCTGGCATCTGACGAATAACCTCAACTTTCTCTGGATCAGGACGTCTTCCATCCTTATCGATGATGAATCCAAGGTAGCGAATCCTCGGCATGAGAAAATTGCGCTTTTCCAACGGACCTGGAAGCCATATTCAGATAGCCTGTCAAAAAGCGCTTCCAAGTTCTGCTCTTCATATGTGCGGCCTGTGACAATGACATCGTCCAAATATGTAGCAACGCCTCTCAGTCACAGATCATCGAATCCATAATCTGTTGAAAAATGCCAGGTGCTGATTTGACTCCGAAGGGTAGACAATTGTAACGGTATAGTTCCTTGTGTGTATGTGTGTGTGTGTGTGTAAGTGTGTATGTATCGCCTTCGATTCTTCTTCGACTTCTATCTGCAGATACACGTCTGCTGCTAAGTCGATTTGTGTGAAAATCTGCCCTCCGTTCAGCCGTGTGAACACCTCTTCTGTAGTAGGTAATGGATGCTGATGCAGTAAGGCGTCGTTCAATCCTGTTGAGAAGTCGGCACATAAACGAATCTGTCCATTCTTCTTCTTGACTGCAACGACGGGAGCGGCCCATTCCGAATGATCAACTGGTGAAATCACACCAGTGGAGACCAAACGATCAATCTCTGCATCTAATTCTGGCACGGAGGCATAAGGGACTGGTCGCTTCTTTTTGAAAACAGGTATTGTGTTTTCCTTCAAGAACAACTTCGCTTTCCTTTTCTTGCATCGACCAAGCTCGCAGCTGAAAACTTCTGCGTATCGCTTCTTCAGGTCTGCAACTAACTGTGCTCGGGCAGTTTCCGCTTCGCTCACCATTCGACAGTGGTATTTGCTTTGCAACTCCTTGTATGCGGGAAGTTGAATACACCATTCCAAACCAAGTAGATTTGTATTTCCGGTGACGTAGCAATAACCATTTCCTTGAAATTTCGTTCCCGTAGTACGGTCTCTCACGGAGAAGTCTGTGGAGAATCTTCCATCAATCTTCATCGGTGATCCGTCTGCCGTTTTGACTGGCATATTACAGGATTCCAAGGGTGGGGATCCGAGCTTTTTCCATGTTCGACGAGATATCAGCGTGATATCTGCTCCAGTGTCGAGTTGGAAACGTAGAGGATGTCCTCTGACATGACGACATCGACGTATGTTCTTGCTTTCTCAGGGGCAAAAGTTGCGACATTCCGGCATTGCTTCCTTTTACGACGGTGGTGCTGCCTTTTCGGTTTCTTGGAGATCTGTTTGAGAAGTGGACAAGCGCTCTTAAAATGTGGTCCTCCACATCCGAAGCATTTAAGGCTCTTTCTGAACAGCATGGATGTCATGGCTTGTTCCCATATTGGCGTTATCCATCTTCAAAGCTGTGAAATTTTCACAGTCAGCAACGAGATCTTCGATTGTTCGAAGACGTACTTCCTGGAGTGAAGGGTCCTGAAGACCTGCAACGAACTGCAAAGTTTTCAACGACGTGTTTTCCATTTCCTTCAAGCAAGCTTCTTCGTCCATCTTTTGATCGTGTTGGCGTATTCTCGGAACGGTATGTTGTCTGAGGTCAAAGCTGGGCAAGTTATCTTCAGACACTCATATCGTCGTCGGATTAACGTTTTCTTGGATGCGAATAACTTCTGGAGCTTTGCTACTGTGGAATCGAAGTCAATCTCGTGCGGTTGTAACGGTAGAATATCATCTGCATACCTGCGATATGCGCTATCCTCCAGTTTCAACAGAATAAGATCTCTCTTCTTGCTATCTGGCACACTCGACTCTCGAATCATTGGGCCGTACCTTTTATACCAATAGTCGAAAGTCTGTCCGGCTTCTTCATCTGCTACGAATTTCTGAACTTTGTTCAGCTGGTCTTCCTGCTGAAATTGAAACTGCTGAAGCATAGATTGATCCTGGTATAAGTGAGTCCTGGAGCAGGTAGTACTGATCGTAAATGTTCTGTATCGAAACCAGGAAGCAGCGTAGTCGTTTATTGAGTCCAAGCGAAAGCCGAACGAAAAGTGAACCATACTCGACAAACAGTCTTTTATACAGGAATGATCTGGTATTGTACAGTACTACTGTCACTTGTGGTAAACTACAGCTGTCATTCCTCAACAGTGATGATCGAAGAGATTATTCCCCGGATTGAGTTACTGTCTGATCTTCGCATAACACATTTTGTTTTTTGGTGAAACGGGCATTAGTTCTTCATCAACCTAACATTAGAGTCCCGTATTTGTGGCTTTTTCTTTTCAGACATCAACCTTCCATTCTTTTTGAACCCCCTGCGGAGGATGGAGTGGAAAACACCGGTGCAGTAGATCAAGAAAGCCTGGCTCATCCTCAGTGGCATTGCGAAGGTAATTTATTCGCAGAATTAAGGCCGACCTTTGTCAATTTCGGCTTTTTGAAGCGGTCTTCTCCATGCACTGGGAAAATACTACCACAATCAAACCTCTTGCTCTGATATTTGTGATACTCTTTTTCACCAATCCAGTACCTACCAGAGCACACTCTCAATCGCTCTCCTTTTCTAGGTCATTTTCCTCCTTATTTTCCACCACTGTGTTATGAAGAGAGTAGTTCCCAACATCCAGCTACCACTTGCTGATCACATATTCGCTTTTCTTAGTTTTATTAATTTTGTTTCAGGTCCGGCTGCAGCAACGAAGACGCTGGTAATACATAATGGTGACACCGCCTTGCATTACAGTTCCGCTGAAGGAGATCACCCAGAAAGGCCAGAAAGGACTGTGCAAGTGAGCCTTTGGGATATTTCCATCGTAGTAGGCTATTTATTCTACAGAAGATGACCGGCCCATTGAACCTGAAAAAAAAGATAAAGATTGCTCGAAAGCATTACTTCAAATTTCTGCCTGATCTACACCTTCATTAAGATGGAATCGGTGGGAGAATCTTCAGCATCTGTTGGAAATAGTTCTTTCTTTCTAAGGGTAGTGCTCTTGTATGGGTGTCCGATAAATAACCTGGAGAGGTGATACAGGAATGCCATGGCGCCTTTGAAACTTCCTGATTATATAATAACTATGATTATATAATAACTTTATAACTTAGCATTTTTAAAGATAATGGACGAGTTGGAAAAGCGTGGCTTGACCTCTAAGTGTGATGTTCGTGAGAACAAGAGATCAGCAACAGATGAAGAGCTTGAAGCGGTGCACGAAAGGCCTTATATTCGACGCATGAAGAGTACTGCTGAGGTGGGACAGTTAGCTAGCCGTTCTTCTAAGTTTTTTTTTCTTGTTAATGAAACTTTGAACGCACTTTCTTTCCAAGAATGTTCACGAATCATTTTTACAAGTCGTTTCCTTTTTACTCTGTTACTCTCATGTTCACAGCTTTATACTCTGTACCCATTTAATACTCTCATGTTCACAGTTTTCATAATCGTTGTTTGATGTTTCAGTAGGATTTTGGCATTGTTTGGCTTGGGAGTTGCGTTTTGCATCGCAATTTCGCTTGTTCCTTTTGTTCAGTTCATGTGAACTTATAGATCTGATTTTGGTGAATCTGTAATCCTTGTGAAGCTGCGAAATAGCACAAAGTCACCTGCGCAGGCTTAGATGTGTATCATTTGTATAGCTTTAGCGTCTGCAATCCAGCTTCTCTTAGAGTTCGTCATACTGCTTGACTTTATCTTTGTTGTTATTTCTTGTGTCTTCTTCTTTGAAGCTTTCTTTTTGCATTTGTCTCCTTTGATTTTCAGGGAATACAAATTATGGTTTATCAGTTTAATGGATCCAACTCTCTTGCTTCATCTATCTTAACTGCAGATGTCGGAAGCCGAATTACATGTGGTTGAAAATGGCTTGAACTCGATTTTTCTTGCTCGCGACACTTTCCATATTGCAAGCAGTGCGGCCGGAGCAGTTCTTGAGGTGTGTTTCAAATTTTCGGATTCTTTTTCCCCGCGATATGACATTGTTTTAAATCGTTGCAGGGCGTTTTTCGTTAAAAGTAAATATTTACATTATGCCCAAAGCTTCCGAACATGTTTGTTTTTCATCTAATGGCTCTGAGCAGTTGTCTATGGCTACCAAATGAGAAGTTTTCTAAAATAACTCGAGCACTATGAAGTCAGAACTATGGGAAGTTTATGTTTGTTCTGTGGATACTGGAAACGGAAAGCAAGAGCGGACGAAAAAGAGATTTTGATAGAGGGTGTGTCCCTTCGAGTTCTATGCACTTTTATCTACCAAAGATTTGCAAAATAAAGACACGGCCTTTACCAGTGGATAAGGCCTGTAATATTGTCTGCCTGTCATAACTATAAATCGCAGCTACTATTTCGTAATGTTCTTGAGTTCTTCTCTTCGTGCAACCCCGTATATTAGGTTGTCCGGAAAGTTCTCAGCGTTTTGGGTGTTTCACTTTGATTGATGAAGTATTTTCCAGCAAGGGAGTTCTGAAAATGTTAGAAAAGGTGATAGTCGGTTGGCGAAAGGTCTGAAGAATATGGCGGTTGAGGTAGAACTTCAACCCCCAATTCGTTCAATTTATGGATAGTGATTTGTGAAACGTGTGGGCGGGCGTTGTCATGCAAAGGAATCGGACCCTTTCTTTTGAGTGTTGGCTGCATCTGACAAAATTTTCGGTACAATTCGTCGATTTCTTCACAGTAGGGTTCTGCTGTGATGGTTTGGCCTGGTGATAAAAAGTTATAGTGGATCACACCAGCCGATGACCACCAAGCCGTGACCAGAATCTTTTTTTCGTGAGGGTTCGGCTTTGAAAATTCCCCGGGGGGACCGCCAAAACCCCCCCCTACCGGAACGTCTCCTATTATCATACATGACCCA